AATTTCTTTTTTACAGTGCAAATAATGGTATTTAAAAAAAAAGTAAATAACATAAGCACTGCGTTATAGTTAGTTCAGTTAGTATGCAAAGTTTCATGATCTTATTTAAAGTATTTTATGATTAACAGCGGTTTATTGTTTATTTTGGAGGTAACTTTGGATTTTTTTCTATCGAGAAAATTTTACGGAATCGTGTTTTCGTGTAACATAATCCTTAACATTATTCCTCAACTTAACTATATATTTATTTCAAAATTAATGCTACAATACTTTCGGCATAACGGAGGATCTTGCTAAGCCATTTGAGGTTATATTTCCCCTTAAGCCCCTGGCGCACTTGTGGTCTCTCAGTTTAATATTGATGACGCCGCATACGTTAGATCATGTAAGTGAATATGCATCTTTCAAGATTTTATTTTATTGGAGCTTATTTTATTTAAAGCAAAACGGAACTCTAAAATAAATGAAAAATATTAGTTTATTAATCTCAAAACCACAACAGATTAATAATTAAACATATACCATTAGTTTTTATTATTCTTAGTGGCGTAAGGTACCTTTAAATAACATTTCAAAAAACAAATTGCTTACAGTTATAATTAACCATTAAAGAAGAAAGTAAAACTGACTTCAAGAACAAAAAACATTTCACTTTTAGAACTTCTGAAGTCGGTGCCAAGAAAGCTGCCTATGGAGAAACTAAATAATTTTGGCATTTTAGAAGTTTTATTCGTTTAACCCTTTGATTACACTTAACCCTTTGATTACACTAAGGAATATCACTAGTTCAACGGCAATGTAGCGACTTTCAAATTTAATTATTCTATATTTCTATTTACACAATTGCGGGTGATTTTTTTTTTTAATTAAAATAGAACCCGTAAAAGAAATTCACAGCGAGCGCTTAGCCCCTGGGCTACCACGGCTCACCTCCTGCAATTGATAAAATGAGATCATAACCCCAGCATACCACTGCAGTACTACAAGATACTGTATGCTAATTCTGCGTAGATCGGACCAAAAATTAATATTCAAAAGCTGAAGGTAGATGGGCCAACCATGAAATTGGGATGTTAAACATCTCACTCCCACCTCTCCCCGTTACCATGGATGTTGTAATGTACCCGAAACGTCGGGAATTATAAAATTAAAATTAAGGCCAAGAGAAACACTGTTAGAATGGTGTTTGCTGGGACAAATATCAGTTTATCCCAGCAAACGCCATTCTCAGAAACTAACGGAGCGCTTAGACTACCTGAAGCGAAGATTCGATAATATACCGAGAGGTCAAGGCGGTTTAACTTTTTTTAGATCCAATCCATCGATTCTTTAAATTCAATTTCATATTTTAAAATATATGAACATTTTAAGACTGAACTCGAGTAGAGTAAATTTGGAAATCTAGGTACAAGAAGACAATATTTTAAAACAGTAAGAGCAATGTGATGTTTTATGATATATAATTTATTAACGTGGTTTAAAAAAGATCAAATTTTGTTTCTAAAACAGGTTTAATACTAGCGAAGAACAACGGGAGACCCAGCAGGTATACTGATTTCGTACTGACAGTTTTTATTCCTACAGAAATATGACTGAAATTTTGAATTGAGTTGCTGAAGTGAAGTGAAGTTGAATTCAACTCGTTATTTTTATTAACCCGCTGAACACTCACAGCGGAATTGATAACAGAGTTTTCATAAAACAAGTTAGTATTTTGACTGTAACATTGTCAAACGTAATGATAAATTTCGAGGGTATTGTTAGCCACTTCTTTCAGCGGGGTTACCCTATCGATAGAGTTAAGTATTCTTTAGGTTAACATTCACAAGAACATCTGCATTAGAGTTTGTTAAAAATGTACGCACTTAATGTACCGCCGGCGCCGCCTCACAGCCGCCTCTGTGTCAAAACTTATTTGAGTAGGCTCAAATTTCGTCTTAAGATTCGGTATTATGTAGCAATCTAATTTTGAGGGTAGTTAACGGAATGAGGAATCAACTACAATAGGACAAATACCGTTATCTAAACAGATTACTGCAGCACTCAAAAGTCTTTTTATTACATAGCTTCATATTGACGTGGAATGTGTTGTACCCCGCATCTTTGCCTGAAAGATAATCATTTACGGCCTAAATAAAATAATTTTGCTCAATAAATGAAAAATGATCACAATATTCCCCAGGATTTATTCCATACTGGCGACCCCGGCTTCGCACTGGTGGTTTCCGGATCTCGCCAACAGCGCCACCTACAAAATCGGTCGAGCTGTTTGCGAGTTTTAGCGAGACTAACGGACAGCAATTGATTTCTGGTTATCGCCAACAGCGCCACCTACAAAATCGGTCGAGCTGTTTGCGAGTTTTAGCGGGACTAACGGACAGCAATTGATTTCTGGATCTCGCCAACAGCGCCACCTACAAAATCGGTCGAGCTGTTTGCGAGTTTTAGCGAGACTAACGGACAGCAATTGATTTCTGGTTCTCGCCAACAGCGCCACCCACAAAATCGGTCGAGCTGTTTGCGAGTTTTAGCGAGACTAACGGACAGCAATTGATTTCTGGATCTCGCCAACAGCGCCACCTACAAAATCGGTCGAGCTGTTTGCGAGTTTTAGCGAGACTAACGGACAGCAATTGATTTCTGGATCTCGCCAACAGCGCCACCTACAAAATCGGTCGAGCTGTTTGCGAGTTTTAGCGAGACTAACGGACAGCAATTGATTTCTGGATCTCGCCAACAGCGCCACCTACAAAATCGGTCGAGCTGTTTGCGAGTTTTAGCGAGACTAACGGACAGCAATTGATTTCTGGTTCTCGCCAACAGCGCCACCTACAAAATCGGTCGAGCTGTTTGCGAGTTTTAGCGAGACTAACGGACAGCAGTTGATTTCTGATTCTCGCCAACAGCGCCACCTACAAAATCGGTCGAGCTGTTTGCGAGTTTTAGCGAGACTAACGGACAGCAATTGATTTCTGGATCTCGCCAACAGCGCCACCTACAAAATCGGTCGAGCTGTTTGCGAGTTTTAGCGAGACTAACGGACAGCAATTGATTTCTGGATCTCGCCAACAGCGCCACCTACAAAATCGGTCGAGCTGTTTGCGAGTTTTAGCGAGACTAACGGACAGCAATTGATTTCTGGATCTCGCCAACAGCGCCACCTACAAAATCGGTCGAGCTGTTTGCGAGTTTTAGCGAGACTAACGGACAGCAATTGATTTCTGGTTCTCGCCAACAGCGCCACCTACAAAATCGGTCGAGCTGTTTGCGAGTTTTAGCGAGACTAACGGACAGCAATTGATTTCTGGATCTCGCCAACAGCGCCACCTACAAAATCGGTCAAGCTGTTTGCGAGTTTTAGCGAGACTAACGGACAGCAATTGATTTCTGGATCTCGCCAACAGCGCCACCTACAAAATCGGTCGAGCTGTTTGCGAGTTTTAGCGAGACTAACGGACAGCAATTGATTTCTGGATCTCGCCAACAGCGCCACCTACAAAATCGGTCGAGCTGTTTGCGAGTTTTAGCGAGACTAACGGACAGCAATTGATTTCTGGTTCTCGCCAACAGCGCCACCTACAAAATCGGTCGAGCTGTTTGCGAGTTTTAGCGAGACTAACGGACAGCAATTGATTTCTGGATCTCGCCAACAGCGCCACCTACAAAATCGGTCAAGCTGTTTGCGAGTTTTAGCGAGACTAACGGACAGCAATTGATTTCTGGTTCTCGCCAACAGCGCCACCTACAAAATCGGTCGAGCTGTTTGCGAGTTTTAGCGAGACTAACGGACAGCAATTGATTTCTGGATCTCGCCAACAGCGCCACCTACAAAATCGGTCGAGCTGTTTGCGAGTTTTAGCGAGACTAACGGACAGCAATTGATTTCTGGATCTCGCCAACAGCGCCACCTACAAAATCTGTCGAGCTGTTTGCGAGTTTTAGCGAAACTAACGGACAGCAATTGATTTTCATATGTAGGCTTTGGAGAAAATGTGTGTGTAGTCGTTATGCTTTGATAGTTGACAACGGCTCGAAAGAAAGATTCAAAAAATAATTATTATAGCTGTCTTATACATTTAGTGATGTTTTTATAATATTTTTTAGCCTAAATTGGCCTCTAAGTATCAAAATAACATAAATTAAATATACGTAGCCTTTGACAATAATTTTTCTTATTTTTGAGTACATTATGCATTAAATAAAAGAAAGAAGTTCAAAATTAATGTAAAAAATTAACTTATCATCATCTTATATAAAACGTCTGAGTAAATGTGCATTTTATATTCAATTAATTGTCTTTTTTCTTTAAATTGAATTTTTCACATAATATATAATTAAAAATAATGATATTTTGTTCTCTTTCGTATATCACTATTTCTATGTTGGTGTCGTAGTTTGATATTAAGCATGCTGCGTTCTGTTGCTCGTTGAAAAACTTGTAGTTTAGTATTAGTTATTTCTTTATTATTTATTTTCTTAGTGATAGCCCAGTTCTGACGTCCATATAATCACAATAACCAATAATCGCGCTAAAGAATATAAAAATGAAATAAAATAAGCACTAAAGATCGCGAGAAATGAATAAATTTTGCTAAAACCAATAAGATTTACATACGAGGACACAGTCCACCTGACGGCGACTGAATGCTTATGAAATACAAGCCGTAGACACTTATCCTTAATTAAGAGCCGAAATGTTGAAGTGTTGTCATCGCTATGAACGAAGATAATTATTTCTAATAAAAATACTTTAAGCCGATTATTTGTTTTTTAAAAGTGATCATAACATAAAAATAAAACAAGCAGCAAGTATATATTTCTATTGTTAACTTTTTTTTCGTTGTATGATAAATTGTTCTGACCAAAAAAATATAGTATTACTGTATCATCTTTCTTAATTAACTTAATTATTCAAATCAGTAAATTAAATAATACGGTAAATCTGTTCCGCATAAAAGGAACACAGAAATACGAGGCATTTCATATTTCAGCCCTAAATCATGGCGAGACAAGGTTAATGGAGTTGAAACCCCACTGCCTGCAGGTAGTCACGTAGCTTAGCAAAATTTAATAAATTTAATCTTTATTAATTGCAATTCTTTGTTGTGAACGAAAAAGTATCTTGTTTGCTTTTATACCCTTTTTATTAAGCGACCTTTAATACAAATTTTTAAGTTGAGCGTACCATCGGTCTTTAAATCTGCCACATTCATCTTGTTTCTTATCATTAATGCTGCTATTTTATCACGACCTAAGTTTATGTCCGGTTTCGTCAGCAGAAACTTACCTATACATGTACTGTAGTCCAAATTGCAGTACTCGTCACTTTATTCATTTATTCATTCATTCATTAAAGCCTATTAAAAGTCCACTGCTGAACATAGTACTTCCCATACATTTCCTCATACAGCGTTTCACCACATTTGCCACGCTGAGCAGCCGGGTTGGCAGCCGCAGTTTTTTTTATTATTTTTGGGTTTTGTCAGGAATCTGCTGCTGCCTCGTGCGTAGTTTCCGTCCGTGTCCTACTGCGACACCCACGGGATGATAAGTGAGAGTAAAATTCTTGCGCCGCTGCTACGCATCCCTTTCCGTACATTATTCTTATTGTACCTAATCAATATTACTCCAGAGCCTTACGAGCGAGAGCCCATTGTAAGGAAGTCCGAGTTTAGATGTTAACCTCGTACATCTAAACAGTTGACGTGACTGCGAAATCCATTTTGTAAGTAGTTCTATACTACAAATATATTTCTAGTAATTTTTAATTTTTTTTAAAGCGCTGGAACAAAACTCGTATCACAATTCGAACCAGCGTGTGATACAGCGTCGCATTTAGCAAATATTTTTAGCGGCCACCACTCAAGACAATATAATAATAGAGTGTGCGTTTTACACGTCTTACGCTCGCCGCATGGAATGCTCAACATTGACGCTACTTTGAGACTAAGACCCTGAGACTAAGACTTCTAGTTTCATTTTATGAGAGAGACCTACAGCTGGTTTCTTGATGTATTGATCGTAATATCAACAATTGAAAAACAGCTGATGATAAGTGGCTCCTGCAGCTTATGGACACCTGCAACCAACTTCAAACAAATAAGGCTAAAGACACGTTCTCACCTCCAAGGGCGAAGACGGAATGCCTCCCAGCCTTATTATACTAACTCTCTATACCATACACGGACATAGCGGTGCTGGCACTGCTGCTGGGCGGTAGAAGTAGTTAAGAATTTGGTACCTACCCACATAGTTTTACAAATTTTGAATAATTTTAGAGAACGTTAAAAATATACTGCTTATAAATAATAGCGGTATCTAAATTACGTAATAATGTACAACATATTATCATTCGCTAGGTGCTCGCTTGTCATTAACCACAGTATTCGGGGCCTTTTATTCTGAAGAACTAATGAACCACCTCGACGACTTTGAAAAATGGCCGCATACTTAATCTAACGCTTACTGCTCTCAACGTGAATAGAGCCATTAAATGCTTTTGAAACGCTGTAAATGTGAACGGATCTGGGTTAACAGTATATTAATACGATTGGAGATAATTATTAAATGTGTGATTATAACTGAGTTGTAATTTTTTACAGATTTTTAAGAATCAATTTGCAGAATGCATTGTCACCTAAAAATTAAGATGGAATGCCTCGTTTCAGTAAAAAGAGGCTGCGCCGCTCTACACATGCCAAAGGAAATATACGATACAGACACACACGCATTAAACCACTTTTTTACGCTGGTATTACGTGTGAGTGTGCCCCTTTCTTGGTCTAGAAGACCTATTCGTCTCTAACCATAATATAGCCGCAACGTGGCAATACAATGTTTAATTTTGATTTTCTACATAATATGCTATTTGTCAAATAAGTTAATAATAATAATAATAAGTATGTAATAATGATACGGCAGTAAGCAGTCTGCCGTATCATAGGCGCCAAGGTTTCCACGGCTGGACGCGCTACTGGCCATAGTAGCGCTATCCCAGCGTGGAGAAGAAGAATTGAGGAACGTATCGCAAAGGCTAGAGCTCTCATCGGCAGACTGATATGCTTCAGATCAGGCAACAACAGGCCAAGAATTGTGCGCACCGTCAGGATGGCGTTTGCTGGGACAAATGTCAGTTTGTCCCAGCCGGATATAACGCAAAAACTGACGGAGCGCATAGATGATCCGAAGCAGAGAATCGCTGCTTGGGGAAAGCGGATTCGGCGATATACCGAGAGGTCGACACGGTTCAACCAGAATCGTCTCTTCCAGAGTGATCAGAAGAGGCTCTATGAATCATTGGAGCGACCAATGGTAAGTGGAACGGGTCCAGCACCGAATCAGGCCGACACTGTAGCATTCTGGCGCGGCCTGTGGTCAGAGCCCGTAAACCACAGCGAGGGCCCTTGGACGGAAGTTGTGGCGAGTCAGTGTGCGGGTATTACGCCCATGGACCCCGTCATCATAACGCCGGATGACGTAGCTGAGGCGGTCCGTAGGGCCCCGAACTGGAAAAAGTCCGGGGCTTGACGGGCTGCATCACTACTGGCTGAAGGGGTTCATGGTGTGTCACTCTGTGCTCGCCCGACAGTTTCAAGAGGCTCTCAACCAGAAGTCGCTCCCAAGCCTCTTCACTACTGGGATCACTCATTTGGTTCCTAAAGACCAGGGTACCACAGACCCGAGCAAATACCGCCCCATCACGTGTCTACCGACCATATACAAGACACTAACATCCATTTTGAGCGCGAGAATCACTTGTCACCTGGACTCAAATCAGGTGATGTCGCGCGCTCAAAATGGATGTCGGGGCGGTGGTCGTGGAACCAAGGAACCACTCCTCATTGACGCGGTCATTGGCAAAGTGGTGAAACGCAACCGTCGGAACTTCTCCGCCGCCTGGATAGACTACAGAAAGGCATTCGACTCGGTGCCCCATACATGGCTAAAGAGAGTCCTCGAGCTGTACAAGATAGACTGTACGGTTAGAGACTTCCTCGAGCAGTGTATGGGGCAGTGGAGTACGATCCTTTGTCATCTGGGCGAGCGGATGATGGCTGCGGAGAACCACATAAGGATAAGAAGGGGTATCTTCCAGGGCGATTGTCTGAGTCCAATCTGGTTCTGCCTCTCTCTGAACCCTCTCAGTACCTTACTGGAGGGCTCCGGGAGGGGATTTCAGCTACGGAAAGGAGGGACAAAATTGAACCACCTTTTTCTATAACGATGACCTCAAGTTATTCGCCTCCAGTCGCTCCCATCTTATGGAATTGCTAAACATCACGTGTGAATTTAGCAATTCCATTGGAATGGAGCTGGGGACGGATAAGTGTGCGGTCCTCCATGTTGAAAGGGGAAGGGTTGCTAACTCTGAGGGCGTAGACTTATCTATGCCCGTCAACTTAAGGACCCTTTCCGAGGCTGAAACATACCGATACCTGGGTATGTCACAAAACATCGGTATCGATGAGACTGGTATGAAACAGTCAGTTTGCGACGTGTTTTATGCACGCTTGACCAAAGTGCTTTACAGCCTTTTGTCCGGTGTGAATAAGGCACACGCATATAACGGCTGGGTCATGCCTGTCCTCATGTATACCTTTAGCATACTCAGGTGGACTCAGACTGAACTTAACGCCCTGGATAGAAAAGTCCACACTACAATGACGTCCCATAGGATGCATCATCCGAGATCGTCGGTAATGAGGCTGTACTTGCCGCGGAAGCATGGTGGTCGTGGCTTCTTGAGCGCGCTCACCATGCATAATCGCGAAGTGTGCAGCCTCCGTGATTACTTCCTGGCGAGATCGGATGATCCATTCTATAAGGACGTCATTTCTTGTGATAAAGGACTTACCCCTCTATCCTTAGCCAACGAGCAATGGCAAGACCCGGCAGTGCAGAGCATTTCCGGCCGGGAGACCGTATGGAAGGAGAAGGAGCTCCACGGGAGGTTCTACAAGGCTCTACATGAGCCTTTCGTAGATACAGTAGCCTCCCTCCACTGGCTACGCTTTGGTGATCTCTTCGGGGAAACCGAGGGTTTTGTCTGTGCAATACAGGATCAGGTTATTAAGACCAACAACTATCGGAGATACATCCTAAAGGATGGCACCGTCGACATCTGTCGAGCTTGTCGCCATCCCGGTGAGTCACTTAGGCATGTTATCTCCGGTTGTTCGGCGCTTTCTAACTCTGAGTACTTGCACAGGCACAACCTAGTAGCCAGAATTCTACACCAGGAGCTCGCTCTGAAACACGGTCTCGTGGATCGGAAATTGCCGTATTACAAGTACTTGCCGGAAGCCGTGCTCGAAAATGATCGCGCCAGGCTCTATTGGGACCGAGCCATCATCACAGACAGGACTATTCTTGCGAATAAGCCTGATATTGTGCTGATGGACCGGGCACAGTCAAGGATATTTTTGGTCGACATTACCATTCCGTATGACGAGAACCTCGTGAAAGCCGAAACAGACAAGCAAACAAAATATCTGGACCTGGCTCACGAGGTGACCGACATGTGGGGTGGTCTGCCGACCGAAATTATTCCTGTAGTCGTCTCTGCAAACGGGCTAATCCCAGTCAGCCTCTCGGGTCATCTGAGGCGGCTGGGACTACGTGGCGGACCGCTCCAGGTTCAAATGCAGAAGGCGGTGCTCCTCGATACCGCCCGCATCGTCCGCCGGTTTCTTTCCCTTTCCCCCTAACCCTCGGCCGTTTGGTCTCTCCTGCCGAGGGCCTCCATCTGGTTGGGCTTTTATTTATTTATGTACTTTTATATTTATTTTATGTTATTGATATTTATGTATATTTGTCTTTTCATTTTCATTTATAATTATATATTTATAGCACCCAACCAGATGAGAAAACTATATAGATACCCCAAAACAATAATAATATTCCACAACTATCACACAACGCCATCTAGTCCCAAGCTAAGCAGAGCTTGTGTTATGGGTACTAGACAACTGATAAACATACTTATATATTTCTAAATACATAAATATTATAGATAAATTACACCCAGACACAGAACAAATGATCGCGCTCATCACACAAACATTTGTCCTGTGTGAGAATCGAACCCACGACCTCCGGCATAGCAGTCAGGGTCACTAACCACTAGACCAACAGGCCTGTCAAAATTACGATTTTGTTTTAACTAACAAATTGTATGTTAACACCGACATTCGATGGATAAGAACGTTTCTAAAGAGGCAACCTCGTACTGGAAAGCGCAGTGTTGAGCGATTCCCCACAGATGTTTGACGAACTGATGAAACAGGCAAGCAGTCAATGGAGTCAGTTTAGCAGTGCACTTGTGATCGGCTTTATTCCATTTATATCGCTATGACAGTTGTGAACACCCTGTGGGTATCCCATGACAAGGCCAAAATTAATCTTAGACGTCTCTCCAAGACTAACACAGAATCCTTAGTCAGTGATACGTGTTACCAGGTCCACGTACCAGGAAAATGGGGTGATCCATTTTCCTTCTTACACTCCGCCTATCGATCTGACACAGCCATTCCAGAACTTTTATATAAATATATTAAATTTTAATAAATGTGCATTAATTTAAACTTAGGCACTACATAATAATATACCTATTGCTTAAAATCTTCTAACGATTAGTGATAAAAATTACCGCTGCCCGCATTACAGTTGACCCCACTCACGAAATAAATCAAGCGTTAAGTTTTAAATTACCTTAATATAAATTAAGCTGCCGATGAATGAATAGGTGTTGGGTGGAGTTCATTTATTATGACCATTCGATTTGTGGTTGAAGCATTAAAATTATTGCCTTCGACTACATCTGTTCAATATTATTTCCAGATACAAATTTCTAGCACAAATATTTACTCTAGATTAATATTAATAGCTTGACTGGTTAAACCACAGAAATTTAAATAATATTATTTGGACTTCTCTGGGTTAAAAGACTGTTAGATATTAATTTATAATGAATAGTTGTGTTAGAAGCTTGTACCTGAAATAATATTGAAAGTTTGAGTTGATTGAAAGTCTAAGGAAATTGTGTGTTATAAGGCAAGGACATAAACTGTTTTAAAATAAATTTACTTATAACTTTAATAACACTAAATAAGAACTTGATACAGAGAACTTGCAAATGGAACTGAACTGAAGGATTTTGGGGACAATGTTTTTGTTGTTTATGTTATCGTTTCATTAGTCTAGGATTGTATTAGTAAACGCAAACGTTAATATTTGAAAAATGGATGATATTTGGTATCCTTAACATAACACCTATAAGTTTATATGCAAAATAATTCTAAAATGGTCACTTGTGTTTATGTCGGCCCGTAATTTTGTTCTGTCAGTCAGTCTGAAAACGCGCATTGCTATTACATATCGCTCGATATAATTAGATATAATGGTTGCTGTTGGATATAATTCTTATTTTTGGTTACATTGAAAATAAAAATGATTATTTTATTTTTGTTTTACTTATATTTTTTTATTTTCGAAATCAGTAAAATTGGCATGAAAATATAACGAACAAAATCTCAGTATGCAACAAATCTAAAGAAATTTTGAAACTGTCTTTATAAAAGTGTATACAAACTAATTTATATTTTGAACAACAAACGCTATAACTAACATTGTGACCAATCGATGTAGGGTAATGCAGCCAATCCCGTTGATACACTTTATCCCCTGTCATCTCAATCTGATGGGATTATTTCGTAACGTCACTGATACAGGGAATATCTTTTGTTAAATGCGATTTAATGTCTGATATGAACATTTCGTTAGTCGTTACATTATTTTTAAATTATATTTTAATAGTAATGAGTAAAATTTTTATGAATTAAATTATTCTTTTATGTTTTTCTCTCTGTGTTATAATTTCTTTATTGGCGATTTTTTTTATAAAAGTAGGGGTAATAAACGAGCATACAGTCACCCTGATGGTAACTAGATGCTGACTCGTAGACCACTTTAACTGATCTCGATTAAGAACCAAATTCCAGATGCGTTGCCACCCCCTGAGGTCCCGACCCATTCGTACTACAACTACACTACTACTATAGTTGCAGCTAGAGTTTGCAAAATCCGGATTATTTTGAAATCCGAATTTTTGAATTTTTCTATGATTAAAATCCGGATAATCCGGATTTTTCGAAGTTTTAAGGTGATTTGATAAAACAATTAAAATTTGCATTTATTCAGACACGACAAAATAAAATCAACCAAAATAAACAAAAACCATGTAGTGGCGATTAAGAATATGCACTACCCCATAATTTCCCGTGGGTGTCGTAAAAGGCGACAGAGGAAAACAGGCAGGAGATGGGCAGCAGTATCTTCCTGATAACAGCAACAATATAACAAAAACTTCAGTTGCCAACCCGCCCGCCAAGCGTGGCTATTATGGCAATATACCCTCATGAGCAATGACGCAAATAGACGGCCCAAATCCCCAGCGGCTCGCTATTCCAGGCTAAGGTGGCGACTATGGTAACGGCAGGGCAGGGGTGCTAAGAATCTCCGGTGGAGGT